GTGACGAGGTTAGTACTCCATTGGCTTTCTCACTTGTACTTTTATGTCATCAGCTTTGAACTGGCACTGGGCGATATGTGCAAAAATCTTAAGCGATGTGATTGTCCCCCACCTTTCCCATCATTTCTTCAGAAGGAAAGCATCAGAGAATTCAACTTGCTGGTAATTCTGAGCTATGCCCTTCTCATTCTTTTTTGTATTCGCTCATTCCTTCACGGTTATCCCATTCTCCGATACGGTGGGTACCCAACCATTTTGACGTTTCTACTACGCAGTGACCAATGTGAACAGCACCCAACATTAACACAACAATGTTGAGTTTAGAAGAAAGTCTTGACCCCTGTCTGACTTCAGCCCCCAACTCACCCTTTCCGGTGAGTGCGTTATCCGCTACACGCCGCTCTTACCCTCTCAGCATGGCGACTTTTGTGCCGAAGCCCTAAAGGCCATGAAGCCTTAAAGACAATTACGCGATCAAATTTACGGGTGGTTGTTCAGTTATGAACCAGTAGCCGATAAGTGACTCCAAAGTTGAGAACAAAGCAAAAAAACCTCGAGAACCCTTAATAAAACCCTTCTCTGGGAGTCACACAGCCTCTTTGTACGACTTCTCTGGAGTTATAAATTAATTATTGTTGGTGATCCAACAAACTGTGGCCTCTGGCTCCAAATCGTTTCTTCGCACCTTGCAGTACTAAATACTAGAAAAAAATTTCATTGCAGAGAGTTTTCGAAAGCCATTTTCTGACCTCATTGCACATCTTTCCGCCGGGTTCAGTAAAGTAAACCACATTTTTCTGTACAGGTGATGGCTGTGGTTCCAGCGATCTGGGCAGGCTCTCATGCGGAATATGTTGTGTCACAGGAAGCGTGTTGCTCACGTAAACCATCGAATCTGAATTTCTCTGAGGCAGCTGCCATGCCTTATGTTGCCAATACTGCCTGGGCAGCTCTTGTTTCCGTCGCCAGGATGAACCCGCGTTCAAAACCATGTTCGTTGGTGTATACTTTATACTGTTTGCAAAAAGGAATAGTGTAAGGTCAGTTCTCGTTATAGCTGAACGGGTATTAATTCATGGTGGAAGTGGTGGAGTGGGCACGATAGCCATCCAAATGTTGAAAGCTTGGGGTACTGACAAAGTAGTTGTCACATGTTCAAAGGATAGGTAAGCAATTTACCTGTCTAGGTTTCTCTTTTTTTCTTTCCTTTTCTTTCTTTTTCTCAGGCCGCGTGCATACTTTGCGCCTGAAGAGATTCGGCGATTCAGGAAACAAGGCGAGTTGAGAGATTGCGCGGCGAGGAGAGACTGCAACTACGACTGGTACTCTGGCGACTGCGAAGATTGTGCGACTCGACGATATGATAAACATGGCAATCCAGCGTTATGGAGAAATCGCTAGATGGCGGAGTTTCTCGAACTGCCTTATCGCTCAGTCTCCCGAATCTCCGCGATCGTTTGCGACCGGCGACGCAGTCGTTATCGATATCATCCACTTCCTTGGCGCTCAATCGCTAGCAGCGCCGAGTCGTTCAGATCGCTCTATCGGCCAATCTCCACAATTGCCATATCGATTCCTATATGCACCTCGTCGCGCAATCTCTCACATCGCCGTGTTTCTCGAATCACCAGCTCTGTTTATTCGCAAGTATGAACGATCTAATTGGTAATTTCAGTGCTGATTTGGTGCGAAAACTTGGTGGAATTCCCGTTGACTATCGCGCAGACGATGTTCGAGATCGTCTTATTGAAGAAGGGCCTTATGAAGTGGTCTTCGACTGCGCGGATACAGATTTAGCTAGATGGAGCGATAAGGTAATACATTCATCTGATCGAATGTTCTAACAGTTAGTACTGAAGGCTCAGTCCACTGTTGTGAACCGTAGACACGGTTTAGAATAGGGGGCACAGCGCATCTCGTTGTTAGGGATTCCTCAAAAGGGAGGGGTCGTATGTGGGCTTAATTTCTTTTGATGGTTGATTTTCCTTGTTTCAGGGACGTTGTTAAGGGTGGGGTCGTACTTGCTCGTTGTTGGGAGGGGAGAGGGTCGTATTTCCTTTCTGGGAGAGGTTGCTGACTCTTCGTGGTTTTTGCTTTTCCATGCCTACTATATACTCTTTCCCCCACCCCCCCCCCTCCCGCTCGACAGCAAAACTTTCGGGAAAACTAGGAAAATTTGTGGGAATTCCAGAAAAAGTGGTAGGAAGTAGGAGAAAATCTAAGAAATGGTAGAGAGGGTTTCTACTTTTCATATGTGCTACTTACGTCCCGCCCCCCATCTTGACAGCTGGATGAGCAGGGAACCAGGGTGGGTCGTAGCAACCCCTAAAAAAAGAGGGAGGTCGTACGGACTCGACAAAAACCCTACCCATTGCATAATCGTAAGGCGGAGAGGCACTAAGCGTGCAGACTAGAAACAGACAAAAAATGACGAAGAAAAACGGCCTGCATCCACATATTGCGGAAATGAAAGGAGAGATAGGTCTATGCTGGTGGAGACTGACTTTTATGGGTGACCTCTGGCGGAACTTCTGAGGCGCGAAGTCTGCTAATGAAGAATGGGCTACCTCGTACAAGATGGAATTCTTCACATTAGCACAATTACGGACTATTTCCTCAGATAACTATCGACTCGGAGACGTCTATTGGTTCCATTCGTACGAATATGTATTCGGTACCTTTACCTCTCCGCACCACCCATTTGGTCTCCCGGAAAAATAGCGTTCACTCGTATACTAAATTGGCGTCATGCCATCTCACCTCGCACCACCCTATCCCGCATCCTCCGCTCTGTCGTCTGCCTATTGGTTTCTCTTCCCTCCACTGTACCAGCCTCCTTCTTTAGCACACAACTGCTGTGAAATACTCTTTTTTTCCGTATGATAGCTTAACTCAGATACCGCGATATTCTCTTCTAGTCTGCGATGTCTGAATAAAATATCTCTTGCCTCAGTCTGTGCTCGGAACTATCCATCACTTTCGCTTTTTAAGCTCTGAACTTCGTTTTCATTCTTTCCCATATCAATTCACGTCTTTCCGTCTCATTATTCATCACTAGTATTTGCTCCCTCATATCAATCGTTTCTTTGACTTGTTTCAGAGTGGCCTCTACGTTGGCCGTGAACGGTGGTTCTCCTATAGCTACTTTGCGCACTAACCAAGAGATGTGTATGCAGCAGCTTTCCGACTCCGCCAAAGGTGCCACTGTCTCCCCCGTCAAGATTTGCTGAAGAGGGAAAGGTGGCCTTTCACTTTGTGAACTCTAAAATGGAAATATATTGAAAAATGAAGAAAGAATGGAACACAGCTTCAAAGTAAAAACAGTTCATTTTTAAGATTGTGCCGGTAGTGGAACGTGTGCAACCGTTCAGTGAGCTACCAGCAGCGTACGAAAGAGTATCCACCCTGCATAATCACGGTAAGACCGTCCTGACTTGGGTGGGTATTGTATTGTGTGGTGGTAACCTATCTGTGCACGGTGGAGTTCTTTGAGCCTGATTAGTCGAAATCGACATTTCTACGATGGGACTGTTATCCACGATGTGGTTGACAGCCATCTCAGTTGAATTCAATTCTAGACTTTAGATCTCATAATAATTGCCTAATCTATGAGGACCATTTAAAAATACCTCATATATCTGTTCGTACGATGCCATACTGCTGCATCTTCACTAGCGATTTTCTTTTCCTTCTTGTGTTGCAGATGTTGCAGATTCTGTATTTGATATACCGGTTGAGATTGAAGTCCTAATAAATGTGCAAAAATGCTTGATCATGTAGGCACGTTGTGAAAGCAGAATGCTTCGATAGTGTCAGAACAGGGAAGATTGCAGAGACGCGGCAAAAGAAGCAATCGGAGGACAAAAGATGCAAGGCTGCCAACGCCCAAGGCCGCGTGCATAACTTGCGAAAATGGAGAATCGTAGAGTCGAAATGCGATTCAGTTCCGCGATCTGTTTCCAGACTCGCTGGATATCAACGCGGTATGAGGAATTTGTGAAAAAAAATCCGCAATGAGAAATACTCGAATTTGAAGCATCGCGACAGTGACGAGAAGGACCAGATACATTTGCTTACTTACCACGAGTCTCACCTTACGTGCATCTCGGAAGAATCGGTGGATTACAGGCTTGGGAGAATAGATACAAATTATCCTATTTTCAGAGGTTGAGGCGCACCCATGTACCCTTCATATCGCGGAGCTGAAGTGGGCGTGGCTGCGTACTTCATGTGGAAGCGGAGCAAGCCACGCTTGTGGTAGGATATTCTCGCTATGGGACAATTGCATTCATGCCTTTGTCCAACACCAGCGTGGATGATAAATGTCTAAGATATGAATATTCTACGAAAAATGCATGTTACGCCATGTTCAGATGGGTCTACGGACAACTTGAGCTGATTCGGTCGTTTGGCGCGATCACATTGCCGTGTACGTGTTTTGGCAGGTAATGGTGGGTCTACCAATGTGGGTAACTCGTCCGAATCGGCGATCTGTTAGGTTTTCGCAATTGATGGCCTAGATAAGGCTGTGAAAGTTGGCTGGGTGCTAAGGGTTCGCA